TTTTAAATTACTCAGAGGTGCTAATTTTGCAGGTGGAAGAAGGAGCTGCACAGACCTGGGCAGAGAGAGGCAGGACTTGGCTGAGCAGGAGAGCTGTAGATCCGGACTAAAGTGCTAGCAGGGAGGAGCTTTTTCACAGTGTCTGCCTGCCCGGCACCAGACACCAAGCACTGATGTTAGCCCTCCTGTACCTCCCCCAGCCTGCTCAGCACATTGTGGGCCACACTGTTGCTACCCCTGAGATTTGACTGTGTTTTTCCTAACAGTCCTGCTGCACCCAGGAGACAGAATAATAAAAGAAGGAAAACACATGTTAAAGATTCGGCAGCCAGGAGCTTACTATAACCCTATACCTGGTGGAGGAACCTTCCAGGTGCACCCTTGGACAGGCGGAGGTGTATTAAAACGCTCCTGGAAAGTGGAAGAGGAGGCAATATATGGGTTTGTTCAAAGAGGTTTTCTTTGTTGTTTTTTTAAGATCACTCTTATAGCAACATGCAGCCCCAGCAGCTACAGGCTGTAGTGGGGGTGAACAAGAGCCATGAGGTGTGGGGCGCGGACAGGAAGACATATGTCCCAGATGGAGTAATGCTAACCCCCTTTTGGACTGATGAGTAGCTCTTCTAGAGAAGCTCCCACGGCAGGCAGGTGTTACTACATCTTGCTGCAAGGTGGCAGGGGAGCTTGTAATATCCTTAGCAAACAGCTGCCCTGGGGAGGAGCTATTCTCTTGTAGGAAGATGAAGGTTTTCTGATAGACCCCAGTCTGAACTGCTGAAATTTATAGCATGGTGTATACATTTAATTGTAAATGGTTGTTGTTTTGCATTCTTGGCTAGCCCATATGATACACAGAGGGAACAAGAAGAGAAGCAGAAGGCCTGGATTTCATCTGAACAAGATGAGCCAGAAAGGTTTGTGTAACAGTGTAAAATATTGGCAGGGAAGGAGGGAGATACTGGCTAGAAGGGGATTGGAACTCATCCTTTTCAAAGTAGTTTCTTTGAGGGTTGTTGTCATGGGTGCTCCATGAGAATGGATGGCCTTGACATGGGACATGAAAAGGGGCCAGGTTTTAGACAGCTGAGGTGCTCATGTGCCACCCATCCCTAGAACTGTGAGTCTGTCACAAGTTCTGACTTGTTATCCACAAAACTCTTCAGGAGCCAAGTGCAGGAATATGCTGCAGAAGATGTAGAAGTTCCCACAGATCTAGCTCTCAAGTTCCAGGTTTCACTCTTAGCCCCTTCCATTAGACTCAGCAGGTTTGATCTTCATAGTTTTGTAGTTAGTAGGGTTGGAAGGGACCTGAGCAGATCATCAAGTCCGACCCCCTGCCATGGCAGGAAAGAGTACTGGGGTCAAACGACCCCAGCAAGGTGATTGTCAAGCCTTGTCTTAAAGACCCCCAGGGTAGGAGCCAGCACCACTTCGCTTGGAAGTTGGTTCCAGATCCTAGCCGCCCTGACCGTGAAGTAGCGCCTCCTGATGTCTAGTCTGAATCTACCCTCTGCCAGCTTGTGACTGCTATTACTAGTCACTCCTGGTAGTGCTCGGGGGAACAGGGACTCGCCCAATGCCTGCTGGTCCCCTCTGACTAGTTTGTAACTGGCCACTAGATCCCCCCTCAGCCTTCTCTTGTGGAGGCTGAACAGGTTCAGGTCCCGTAGCCTCTCCTCGTAGGGCCTGCCCTGCTGCCCCCTGATCATGCGAGTGGCCCTCCTCTGGACCCTCTCCATGTTGTCCACATCCGCCCTGAAGCGCGGCACCCAGAACTGGAGGCAGTACTCCAGCTGCAGCCTGACCAGTGCCACACAGAGGGGGAGGATCACCTCCTTGGACCTGCTTGAGATGCATCTGTGGATGCATGACAAGGTGCGGTTGGCCTTCCTGACTGCATCCCCACACTGCCGGCCCATGTTCATCTTGGCATCAATGATGACTCCAAGATCCTTTTCTGCCTCTGCACTGATGAGAAGGGAGTTCCCCAGCCTGTAGGTATGGTGCTGGTTCTTCCTCCCCAGGTGCATCACCTTGCACTTGTCAGTGTTGAATCCCATCCTATTCTCATCTGCCCACCCCTGTAACCTGTCTAGGTCCAATTGCAGCCTATTCCTCCCTTCTAGCATGCCCACATCCCCCCACATCTTAGTGTCATCAGCAAATTTGAACAGGGTGCTTTTTACCCCCTTGTCCAAGGCACCGATGAGGATGTTGAACAGTGCAGGCCTGAGGACTGAGCCCTGGGAGACCCCACTGCCCACATCCCTCCAGGTCGAAAATGACCCGTCCACCACCCCTCTCTGGGTGCAGCCCTCCAGCCAGTTGGTGACCCATCTGACTGTGTAGGTGTTGACACTACAGTCCCCCAGTTTTTTAATGTGAACGAGGTGAGAGACAGTGTCGAAGGCCTTCCAAAAGTCCGGAAAGACTATGTCCACTGCTACCTCTGCATCTAAGGATTTGGTGACCTGGTCGTAGAAGGCCACCAGGTTGGTCTGACATCTTGAAATGGTTGAGATGTAAAGTCAGACTCTCACTGTGCCATTGGCATGGACCCACTTTTTTTTAAGATCCTCTGTCATCATAGCACACAGTCTCAGCACCTATGGGATCTAGAAGGAAGGCAAGAACCAGCAGGCTTGGGGCATGGACAGGCAGGCACATCCCCCAGGCAGAGTTATGTTAACCCCATCCAAGAGAGAGGAGCAACTATCCTAGAGAAGCTCCCACAGCACGCAGCTGTTACTGCACTTAGCTACAAGGTGGCAGGGGAGCTTCTAGTAGTCTTAAAAAACAGGTGCCCTGGGGAGAAGTTACCCCAGGTTAGGGTGCTCATGTCATCTGCCCACTACTCTGTTTACACTGGTGCCTTATAAACATTTTGTCTGCACATTACTCTGGCTTCTCTTCTAAGCCCTGTGGCTGCTCAGCTGTGGGAGCTGGGACAAACCCTTTGTTCCTCTGTGCCTTTATTCCTCTGCTGCCCCTGTCTCTCCAACTATAAGACCCTCTGGGGGCACAGCCTGTCTAAGTTGTACTTGGCATGTAATATGCCGAACACGAATGGACCCTGCAACTGGCTGTATAATCATTTTTAGCAGTGCTGGTACAAGATGCTCACAGACATTTGGGAGGTTTAGGGAAGCAGGGAAAAATGTTGGTCCTGGGTTCTGTCTTACTGCATATGGATGCTAGAGCCAGAAGCCATGTTGGTTCCCATGACATTTTCACAGCTGGCCCTCATGGCCCAAGGGGAGGCCCTACAAACAGCATGCTCAATTCTCCTGTCATGGGCACTAGTTTAACCCCCGTGCACCTGCAGTGACTTCTCTGCAGTTACTCCATTCACATGGATGCAAGCGAGAGAAATATGGGGGCCCCTAGAGTGGAGAAACTGTTGCTGTCATCTTTAAATCCCTTCTCTTTGTCCCTTCTGGTGAGACATGAGATAGCAGCTGATGATCGACAGGGTGGGGGAGAATGTGCTGGTATGAAACACCTGGACATTCCCAGGGGCAGATCATGATGGTTCATGGACTGTTCTCTCCTCTCAGTTACATCAGTGTCACTGCACAAGATTGCAAATGAAAACTAATGTGACATACCCACCTGCCTTCTGGGAGTAATAGGTCATTAGTCCAGTGCTTTGAACCTGAAAAATGCTGCACAGATGCCAACTCTTCCTAGGCAGCATGGAGTTGTGTGCAGTGTGGAAACCTGCCTGGAACAGGATGTCTAGCCCATGTACTTACATATTCAGTATGCTTCCCCAATGCACCATTTTCCATTATCGGTATTAACAGAGGTTCACAGATTCACCTGCTACCATATTAACTTGTAGAAAGATTCATGTTTTCCCAAAGAGCCCCCAGTCTGAGCTGTTTATTCTATGGTATGTTCATTTGTTTGTAAATGACTGTTGTTTTGCATTCTTGGCTAGCCTAGAAGATATACAGATGAAACAATATGAAGCTCAGGCCATGTGGATGTCATCTAAAAGATATGTGCTAGAAAGGTTTGTGCAATAGCAGTTAGCATATTGGCAGGAGAGGAGGGAGATATTAGCTACAAGGAAGTTGGAACTCACCTTCCTCAAAGTAGTTGTTAGCAATAAAAACCTAGGATTCCCAACTAGCCCAGGGATGATGACACGACACCTCGTTCGATAAGTGACAGAAAGGCTTTATTTACTACAAGTATTTAAAATCAAGTCAAGTGAGCCCAAACCAAATCAAAGTCTAGTAATTACCCATAAGGTAATGATTTCTCACCAAACAGGTGACGAAGAGGTGGTCTGTTTCTCTTCAACTTCTCAAGTAAGTTGGGCGCGTGGGCACCTGGTGTCAGAGAGATTTCTCACTCTTGAAGCGCACACGCTGTCTGCTGTTTCATCTTCAAGGCATTTTTTAGTTGTGTAAATCAAGAAAGAGTCCCAAGCAGTAACTGACAGGAAAATCCTGCTCATTACTGGTTATCAGAAATTTTTAATTTGAATGAGTTACCTTCTTCAGTAACAAGAGTTTATCCAGTTTGAAACATATCAAGAAACTGATTAACAGCCAGGAAAAACATACTAAATCAGGAGGAGACATCTATTACATATGGATAATGTCGCTTCCTGCACATAAACAAGAGTTAGTCGCAAAAGAAATATTTACCATACTAATTAATCAAGGATAGAAATTTCATATGGTTACACACCAGACAACTAAGAGTCTGCGTGAAATCATTCTGAATATAGCAAGATAAGCTGGAAGAGATACTTCATTATTCCTTCTTAGATGGCCTAGCAATGAACTCGCATCCTCTTGCAATATGCAGTTTGCATTATTATTCTGTCTTTGAACTTTTGTGAGTAGGCCCAAGCTTAGCATGAGTTTCAGAGTCATCAGTAGTTTCTCCAAGGGTCTTCATCATGGGTGCTCTATGAGAATGGATGGTCTTGGCATGGGACAAGAAAAGGGACCATATTTTAGACAGCTGGGGTGCTCATGTGCCACCTATCCGTACAACTGTGAGTCTGTCATAACTGACCTGGTCTGTGGACTGTGGTCTGACTTGTTGTTCACAAAATTGTTCAAGAGCCACCTGCAAGATATTTCTTGCTGTGGAAGATGCAGAAGCTCTCGCAGATCTAGCTATCCTCTCAACTCTGGGGTTGCACTCTTAGCCCCAATAACCCTTCCATTAGACTGAGCAGATTTGGCCTTGAAATGGTTGAAATGATTGAACTTTACATCATGGTGTGTTCATTTATTTGTAAATGACTGTCGTTTTGCATTCTTGGCTAGACCATATGATACAGATACGGAAGATGACGACGAAACCGTATGGATTACACCTGAAGTTTACTGGCAATTCCAAAGGTTTGCACCACACTATGTATAATATTAGCAGGGAAGGAGGGAGATACTGGTTAGAAGGAAATTGGAACTCATCCTCCTCCAAATGGTTTCTTCAAGGGTCTTCCTCATGGGTGCTCCATGAGAATGGATGGTCTTGATATGGGACAAGAAAAGGGACCAGGTTTTAGATAGCTGGGGTGCTCATATGCCACCCATCTCTAGAACTGAGTTTGTCACGACTGACCTGGTCTGTGGACTGTGTTCTGACTTGTTATCCACAAAACTCCTCAGGAGCCAAGCGCAGGAACCAAGTGTAGGATATTTCTTGCAGAAAGATGCAGAAACTCCCGCAGATCTAGCTGTCTTCTCAAGTCCCAAGTTGCACTCTTAGCCCCAATAACCCTTCCATTAGACTGAGCAGATTTGACCTTGAAACGGTTGAGATGAGTCAAACCCTCATTGTGCCATTTGCATGTGTTTACTTTTTGAAAAATAAAGCACTCTTAAAACCTAAGCTTGGGGCCTAAACTATCTGATACCCGCTTTTTCAAAAAAAGAAGACACTTTGCTTGCTCTAACTTTATTCTGAATTTTGCAGTCCCACTAAGAAGAGCTCTAGAAGGAAGGAAAAAAGGGTAAGATTTCCTGAGATCCAGACTGGGACTGGCAACACAGCCAAGGACCTCTTGAGAACCAGCAGAGCATCAGATGCAGGGCTGAGGAGAAACGGATTGGAAAGGTAACATATACTTTTCCCTTTCTTAATGCCCTCTTGCTTCGATCCCATAATGATGAGCACTGTGACAACCCCTGAGACTGATAGCTCTTCAGATTAGCTTTTCTCATGTTAATAAACTACAGAAAAGAAGGGCAGCCCTATTTTGGCATCAAAATTATATTTGGGTCTACAGTGAAGTCCAGACCATTAGTGGTCTAAGGTAAGACTGACTTCAGGGAAGGTAGGCAAGCAGCGTATGGTAGAATATTCCTGAGCACCTTCTCACTGGGATCTAACAAATCTATGTAACAATAATTTCACTGGGCATCTGCATGAGTTAGCATAGCAAAGCTGTCTGCAGGTAGGGCCCCAGAAAGCCTTAGGAGTTGCTGACTACAAGTGACATGAATTTTGTCCAGCTTCCACCCACCATTGAACAGAAGCAGGGAAAATGACTAGCAACAATTTGGGGTGATGTTCTGGCCATGATGATCCAGGAAAAATTAAAGAAGTGAGGCCTTTTTGTGGGTGATCTCTCTTATTGGATGAACTGTGTAATTGGGAAGATCACAGATAAGCTTTTGGGTACCACAGGATCCTTCCTCAGGTCTCTGGGTAGCAGTTTGATTTGGTTAAGTGAAAGGCATTAGCTAAATCTGTAGTTGATGACTGACCGTATTTTGTTTTGCAGACAACTGCCAGTGACATCTACCCGTTACTGCAAGACTGAAAACAATAGATTCTGGCCAGGTCAACAGCTGGACAAGCTATGTTACCTGCCCCAGACGAAGCCTGTCCAAGGACAGGCCATGTTCAAACACATCCAGCAAACAAAGCCTGCCTACCCCAGCATCTACAACCCATATCGCAGCTGGCCAATCAACGAGCGGGGCTACCTGACCTATGGAGACATTGAAATTCAAAAGAAATATTCCATCTGATATGGTCTGAACAGTGATGCGACATGTGATCAAAACTTTGTAAACCCTCTGAAATCTCAGTTATCTTATGGTTATCTTTGGACTATTTGAAATCAGGCTAAGGCATGAACCGTGGATTCCTATTATTCTCCATCTACCTCCTGTAGTGCTCTTGCCCCCTTTGAAGTGTGTGGTGCTTCAGGTGTGAATTATGGAAGACCTCATAGACTGTGCCAGGGCTGAAGGTGCTCTCACAGCTTGGTAAGGGAGAAAACATTAATGGCCTGCACTCCATCAAGGTTCAGTGCCAGCAGGCCTGAATCTGCTCCAGTATCCTCTAAAAAAAACGCACCATATACTGCTCAGTGAAGTTTCCCATATTGCCTTTGTGTGTAGTTCCAAGCCTACCTAGAAGAAAGACCTTCAAAAATTGTACTGTCCCTGGTCTCCTTTTAGTTTGGTCCAAGACATACTCTTTCATGATCCCGGGAACCTCCTCATTGCCACTGTGTTTCTCAGCAAGACTTCAGGTAAACTGAGTAATGCAACACTGAACTTAGTCTCAACAGAGTAGTTTCATTTGTACTTACTGTTTTTGTGAGTTACTTCTGGTTATCTGAGGCCTGATGTAGGCTAAGGAGTTTGGTATTGTTGCAGGATCAGAGCTTTAGCTTTTCATGTTTTTATGACAATGATAGTGCAACAAAAATAAGACAATCCTACCTGTATTAATACAAAGAACTTTATGTAATTTGCAGCTCCCTCCCTGTCAATGACATTCAGATACACAGTTAAGATAGTTGCAAATGGAAAGTGACAGAAACATCTTTATTCGCAAAATTGTCTCTGGTCAAGTAAGATTTCCTGCACTCTGAAAATTTCTGGAGAAATACTCTTCCCGTGCAGTAACAAAAACAGCCAACTGGAAGGAAATGGTGCATTTGTCTAAACCTCTTGGCCTCTATGAACTTATGTCAAAGACCATTATCAAGTTCTCAGATAATTTCTCTTGAACGTGTTGGAAGAATTAGATAATGCCTCCATAGAGAAGTCGTGTACACATCAGGCTTGTAACATTAATGTCACAAAGCCCAGTCCAGTGCTTACCAAGGACAATGGAAAGATGCTTTTTAACTTCAATGAACCCAGGACCGAATACCAATAAAATTGTGGCCAATATTATAATTTGCTTACGTAAAAAAGTCACTATATCTGAACATCTTGGGTTTTGAATAGCAAATATACATAGCCTCATCAGTAACCATGCCACAATGCACAAAAAGTTCAGGACACCTGTTACTTTCACATTGGTATCTACTGCTTATATTTGAAGGAAATAAAAAGTACATAAAGCTACAACATGATGATTATATGCAACAGAACAGTTACGAAATGGAAGACGGTATATAAAGAGTTAGCAACCAGGTCATATTCTTACCAGCGTTCTCAAAATGAAGGCGGTCAGCCAATTCATTCTCTTGCTTCTATTAATTGCTTCATCTCTTGCTAAAAATAACTCTCTAGACTTGCAAGGTATGAAAAACTAAAATGGATAACATTTTTAAATCCTCTTTTGCTTAAAATGCTTCAGAAATTTTAGCTTGCAAATCTTGGCTAGATGTTAAATGATATTTGTTTAATCTGTATTTAAGAAAAAAAAAATTTCCCTGTTTTCCTATGCTATTAGTGATCTGAGTTAGCTGCTCATTAATAGATATTTGGTTTTTTTGTTATAGGTTTCAATTGTAAATAATCAATGAAACAAACCAAACTTATTGTTGCCTATAGCTGTAAGCCTCTCTCTCCCAAGAAAATCCAATTTCAGATTAGTTTTATTTTTAGATATCGGGCTTTATATATTAATATGAGTATTGTATTCAAGTAGTGGAAACCTATACTTCAGCTGTAAAACTCCCTGAAGTAAGGGGCTCAGAGTGATGGTTTGAATTGGTATCTAAAGTGAAGTGCTTTGGTCAGTTAGAATCGCAACGATAGCCATTGGATTGTCAATTTGGAGACCTAGTTCTGGGATCAGCATTTTACACACAAAATGGCAAATAGGCACTTTAGGATAGCAGAGAAATCACTTGGACACAAAAGACACCTCCCCATTGTCTTTGGGAAGCTTTGGATTAGTCTTTGTGACATGACTGCTACATGTCTGGTGCATACACAACTTCTCAATGGAGGCATTATCTAATTCTTCCAGCGTGTTCAAGAGAAATTGCCTGAGAACTTGATCATGGTCTTTGCTCTGAGTTTATAGAGGTCAAGAGGTTTAGACAACTGTGGCATTGTATAGTGCAGGGTCTCTAATTTCAAAACAAGATAACTCCATACATGCTGTGTTTTTCTTTTTTTTTGTTCCTGAATGCAGCTGGGTGTGGCGCCAGTCTTGGGGAAGAGAGAAAAGCATTTCCAATTGATCTGTATTCAAATGAAAAATGTACCTGGAAAATACAGAGATCAGAAAACAGTCATCCGGCTCATTTTCTCCTATTTTCAGTAAGTAATTGTTCTCAATACCATCCTAGTACTTTGCTCCATTTCATTTGAATAATTATAGAGAAGAATTCTTTTAAATATGTAATGAGCCTAACGCAATAATTTCAGAATATTCAGTGCTAGAGTTAGGCCTCTCCTGTCTCTGAACATCATTGTCTTTGTTGTCACAAAATTGCTTATGGAATCAATGTTATGCTGAGGCTTCTACTTATTTATTTGTGTGTGTTTTAACAGGCTTGACCCTTATGCAAGTTGTGAAATGGAAAATATTAAAGTGTACGATGGCCCCACAAGTAATTCACCTCTGCTAGGACAAGTATGCAGTAATATTGACTCAGTTCCAGTATTTGAATCCTCTTCAAACAGTTTATCTTTTCAAGTTACAACAGATTCCATGGACCTTAAACGGAGCATCTTTGCATTCTATTATTTCTTTCCAGCAGGCTCAAGTAAGTCGTATGAAAAGCAGTCGAAGTAGCACTGTCTTAATGCTGCCTGTTATCATAATAATGTTCTGCTTTACTCCAAAATGTTGGGCTGATGCCGTGAAACATATTCATGGGATCACAATGGAATCATGTCCAGATTTCCTCAGCCCACCAAGAGTTGTCCTGATGTAAGATCTCTTAAAATTAGCAAAAGGAAGTATCGTATGTCCCTGTCTTGCTAATTTACCACATGAATTCTAGCATTAAGCCATAATTTCAAGTTGAACCAGAGAATATCTTTTAGAAAGAAATGTTGTCTTGTTTAAGGGCTTGACCCTGCTTTCATCACATCAGTGGTCAAATTTCCTTTGATTCTTTGGTGCTGGATTAAGACTTTAGTAATTTTCTTTTCCAGAAAATGCACTTCATCTTTAGGCAAATTGTTTTAGGGCTTAGCTATCCATGTTAAAAATGTATACTTCATTTCCATTTGCAGCTTGTATTTTGGATTTTGATATTTCATTGTCTGCAAAATAAAAAACCTTCAACTTCAGAAGTCTTCTCTTCAGGTCCATACATGATCTTGAGCATAGAACATGTCCAAGTCGACTGTTACATTTCTTTGAGGTAGTGGCCATGTACAGATGTTTAGTTGCTACCAGGAGAATCACAGCTCTCCCAGTAGAAACCACGGGTGTGCAGACACTCCATCTTTTAATTCTGGCACAAAATTGACCGTGCTGGAACAAAAATAACCTGACTGCAACTACTTTGGCTTCTCATACCAGAGTCGCCAGCATAAGAATAGCAGGTTTTCCCAGACAAAGATCAACCCAGTTGCAGGAAACACAAGGAGCAGGAGCGAGGGGGCCATTTCAGCCTGAATGCCTGCTCCCTCTCCTGGAGAAGGATTTTGAGTGGTGGAAATTTTCCACCACAAGATATGAACATGTGTATGTGGCCAGTGTCTCCCCAATCTCCTCTTATGATAGGGTGCGTGCATTTTATTATCCTTTCCCTAGAACTGTGCCCTACATCACAGTCTGTCCTCAATGACATTTTGTTCTTACATACCCTGGATCCTTTTCACTTTAATACTATAAAGTCAATATCAACAAAGCTCATATGGAAACAGGATAAAACTAAACCAAGTACTTTGCAGTAGACCTCAGCTTAATAAAAATATGCATTGATGCATAAAAGAGAACTCTTTTCCATTAATGAATTGGTCTCCTCACTGAATATTATTTTCATTAAAAGCTTTTGGCTCTTAAGTGATAACGTCCTAACAGCAGTTTAAAACTGACATCAAACCTGAGTATGTAGCAGCCTGCATGCATAATACCTGAACAGGTGCTTCGACCTTGAAAGTAGGATTCCCTGAAATAATACAGTTAATTCCTGTTGTGCCCTAGGTTTTGATTTCTGTTCATTACTAGCTTTTCTATCCATTCCTTCTTTTCAGAAACTGAAGACTGTGGGGGTCTTCTTACAAGTCCTGAAGGAACGTTGACCAGCCCCAACTACCCCAAACCTTATCCAGAGTTCACATACTGCGTCTGGCACATACAAACAGCAGAAAACTCAAAGATAAATTTAACATTTACTGACCTATTGTAAGTAGCTGCTGTGTACAGCTAGTGACTTCTTTGTCATTCTGTTAAAAATCATCATTTTTATCATCAGGAAGCAACAAGTGTTTGCAGAGGTTTAGGTCGTCGTAGCACCTTTAAACAAAAGTCGCCATGATGCAAGTATTAGACTATATTACAATAATTTTCCAAAAATGTTATACATTATCTTAGTGCTGTCGTATGGTTTTCTTCAGTATCTAATACTGGTAGGAGTCTTTAAGAGCCGGTGGAGGAAATGCATTGAATATAGCTCAGGCCTCATCAATGTTAAGGTTTTTAGTAACCAGTGTAGCCACACTGGTGCAGAAAAAGCAATTCAAAACCCTAGCTCCACTGATTCACCTGCACAAATTTAAAACTCCATTTACACAGGTGACCTATATTTCTACTAGGGACTGGTACACTTAGTACCTGTAGTAGCAATTATAAGCTTAGTATAAATAACATTTTAGAGACTTGATGAAGGAAAGACGTACGTAACTGAGAATTCTTCTACTTCACTTGATTGGTATTCTTTAGATACATTTTCCTTTGTACAGTATTCTCTATCCTGTCTTCGTAATATTATTAAAACTCATTATGATTATTAATATTATTATTCTCTGTGTATACAGCCTAGAACTAGATCCGAACTGCAAATTTGATTTTCTTGCAATCTACGACGGCCCCTCCACAAAGTCTGGTTTAATTGGACAAGTCTGTGGTCGCAGCCGGCCCACATTCGAATCTACTTCAAATACTATGACTATTGCACTGTCTACAGATTATGCCAATTCTTACAGAGGGTTTTCTGTGCACTACACCAGTATTCCCCTGCCAAATCCTAAGCCCAACAGTAAGTCCCATTTTCTTTTGTGCACCTTGTGCCCATTTTGTACATCTCCTTGAAATGCAAATACACATCTCTCATGACTCTACCTTATGTTATTTTAGGGATTTTGGCCCTGCTGCCTGACACTCATCTCAAGGGTGTAAAGTTCATATTTGTGTTATATAAAAAATATGGTGCTAGGTTTGTTCCCTGGTACAGGAGAGGAGGTGACTTCAGAATAGATACTCTATGACTTATTTGAAATTTATGATCTAATGTTAGATTCCTTCCTATACAAAATCTTACAGCTGCAAATGCCCTGCTGCCAACTAAACACCTCTGCAATAATGGGAGAAGTTAGCCTGATAAATCCTGGTTTTAATAGAACCTCTGATACATATTGGAGAAAGTTCTATAAGACCTAATCTTCTACATGTGCAGGTGCTTTGCTCTTTAGAAAGGGAAAGGAGCAGAATTCACATACGTGGTTCCTGGAGGCATTAGGACTGTGGGCAACAGAAGAATAACAAATACTCTAGCTTACTGCCTTTGCTGTCCTCACTTTTTCTACAGATGATGTATTTGGTCCATTAGAGCTGCTCTGCTGTTGGTGGTGAGTGCAAGGGGAGCTGGGTCCATTGATAGACTTCTGGCTCACCATCAAATCCTTCTGCTGCCTGGAGCTCTGAAAACAATGCTAGTCCAACTGGCTGCCTCTTACATGGATGCATGGGTGGGTGAGGAAAAAAAGGAGTTCCCTTCGCCTCTTTCCTCTGTGGGCAAATGCCTGACTTCGGTCCTGGACTTCTTAAAACCATGAAATTTGAAATGATGGGTTGCAGGCTGTTGCTCAAGAGGCAGGGAAAGTTTCAGATTGTCCTCTGCCAAAGAAGAGATATTTCAGGTCAACACATATGAACTACTGAGAGACATATAAAGCAATTCTACATTAACTTCCTTTGTTCTTTGTTTTCTCAGCATCCCTTACTTGTTCTTCAGACATCATGACAGTTGTTCTAAGTGACACTTACCTGGTTTCACTTGGCTACAGTGAAAATAATTTACAGTTGAATGATCCAACTTGCAGACCAATTTCAACAAGCCCAGTGATATTTTCCTTCCCACTAACCAGCTGTGGAACAGTTAAAATGGTAAAGAAAATAAGTGACCATTTCTGAAAGTATGTGTAAAAAGGCTCATGATATATTTACTTTGCTGGATACCTGATTACAGGTTTTCAGACTGGAAATAGGCAGAACCACTCTTCCCTCTACAACTGACCTGGGAACCAAACTAAGGTCCCATCTCAGCCAGGACTGAGCTCAGCTGTGTCCATGACTACTAAGACAGTGTTTGATTCTGCCTTTAGTCTGTATTTCCAGTGATGACACTATATTAGGCAATGGGAGTGTTAAACACTCATTGCAGCCAGTATGTATTCCGGCAGGACAAAGACCCAGAATTTGGGGATTCTCCATCAGTTAGCTGAGGGTCATTCGCATGTTGATGGTTCTGAGAAAGATACTGTTTGAGGATAAGGTTGGGGGTATTCTTTAACTGTTTTCCTTTAGGGGTCAGTTCCTCATTTCTGAGACATGGTAGGTTTGCTGCTAGTTATCTTGTATGTTGGTTTACAATGCTTTTTCGAAGTATTGAGACCTGGAAGAAAGACATATTTTTCTGTTAGTTTTGTAGCTAACACCTGCAGGGCTAGGTAACGGGGGCACCAGTCCCAAGTGCCCATTTAAAGGGTGTGCAGGAATGGCAGCCACCACCACTCCCAGCCCCTGCTGCTGCTGCGACCCGTGCCACAATTCCTAGCTGTTATATTTTTGCACACCTGCATGGCTTATACTAATGCTTTCTATGTATTTTCTTTTGCAGAAGGAAGGTAATAAAATTACTTACACCAACCTCATCGCAGCGTCACAAACTGGTGAGATCATCACTCATCAAAAAAACCTGCAGATTTTTGTGAAGTGTGAAATAGAAAATAATTCAACAGTTGAAATTTTCTATGCATCGGAAGATGGTATAATACAAAACTCAAGTGCTCTTGGTAGATACAACGTTAGCATGTCATTGTATGAATCAAATTTATTTGCCAGGCCCATACTGGACTCTCCATATTACACAGATTTGAACAAAACCCTCTTTGTTCAAGTTAGTCTTCAGTCCACCGATGCAGATCTTCTGGTGTTTGTTGATACCTGTGTGGCATCCCCCAACCTTGATTTTGGATCACCCACATATGCCTTAATCCAAAATGGGTAAGAAGCTAAATTAAATTATAATTTGTTTACTAAGATGTACAAATAGGCATGCTGTATGTGTAAAATAGTATTGCAATTGTTTTTATAATTGCATCAAACTATTTCCCTTTGTAAGGGTCATTATGGGATATAATCAGGCCAAAATTGAATTTCTGTAAATTATATTTCTGAGATCCTCCATGTATTTTCTTCAGTTGATTTTTACCTGAAACCTCCACTTCAAAAACATTCCTGTATTGTTCACAAAAACAGGAATCAGGGTTCCATGCCTTCTGTGGGGTAGATCAAGAAATTATACATCAGCAGTAGGTGGAAGAAGACCCTAGTTTAACGGCCTGATACAGCTAAGCATGCTAATTAAATGGATTATACACTGCTGTAAATCAGGGGTTGACAACCTTTTAGTAACAGCAGGCTGGAGGTAGCACTTGCTAGATAGTCCAGCATTTGCATGGGGGAAAACAATATCATTTTGTCATGCCTGGCAGGCCAGATAAAAACTCTTTGCCAGCTAGACTCATCCAGCCAGCTAGATTCATCCAGGTTGCTGACCCCTGCTGTAGATCACTTTAAACAGAACTGCAAATTGTATTACAGGTGTATTAAGGACGATACTTATATGAACTACCCACTGCTTCAGCACTATGGCAGATTCAAATTTAATGCCTTTAAGTTCCTGAGAAACCATGCTTCAGTGTACCTCCAATGTCAAGTTTTAATTTGTGACAGCAATGACAGTAATTCTCGCTGTACTCAAGGCTGTGCGCCTAGACAGAAAAGAGATATTTCTTCATACAAATGGAAAGCGAATGCCGTGATTGGACCCATCCGCCTGAAACGAGATCGCAGTTCTGTAGATCACTTAGGTAAGCATGATATGTAAACTGAGGACAGTGTGTTGCTGTCACGTGGTAGAAATCAGGAGTAATGCTGCTGAAGTGAGTTGAATCATATTAGTGTGAAATTAGAGTGAGAATAGAATCAGGATGGAAAGGATTTGATGAACGAAGTATTTCATTTGTGTTTTGAAAAAGCTCACAGGTACTTTTCAAAATTGAGAGATTGGCTTATCTTTCAGTATAAGACTTGCAAGCAATGACCATTAAAGAAAAAAGAAATAGATCATCTGAGTACTTAGGTAGACACTAGATCTCACCACAAGGAGCACTGGTGAGCTATCAATGCAAAAATAAGACTTGAGATATTCAAATCAAATCATGATTACCAAGACACCGTTCTTAGACAGAATGACTGTTTGCGTGCCTCTCATTGCCTGAAAAAGTGTGTAGATTAAAAAAACCAAACAAACAACACACTATACATTTCAGATCTAATCTTTGCTATAATTTTCATTACATCTAGTACTCTACTCACATAAATTAGTGTTCAATTTCTACAGAAAAGCGTTTAATGTTTACAATCAGAATCATATATTATTGAATCCAAGGTAGGTTAAATCTTGAACAACACATAAAATAGAGACTACTAAGGATAGGAACTTGTGGGGGGAGGCGGGTAGAGGAACCAATACAACAACAGAAAGAACTTTTAATTGAAGCTGTATATTTTATGGATTATGTGTGACTCATTGACATGTATCTATCATACAAAATGAACACACAGTAAGGCAAAACTGTTTTTCAGAGACAGGACTAGTACTGAGAGGCAAATGTAGGTCAGTTTAAAACCATGAAAGAGATATTTTTAGGAAGCTTGGCACAACAGTAGCCTATGCTATATGTTTGGCTCCAGCTTTTCATGTGGAAATTTTAAATTTAAAAAATACTACATGCTTTCCAAGTCTAGATCTCCTTATCCCATATGTTAATCATTAGGCTTGTTGACAAAGGAATAGTAATATGAATATGTGCTTTACATTATTATAATAACTATTCTATTTTTATTCCAGCAGCATTTACAATATACTCAATCCTGTTGCTGTTTATTTCTGTGGGTGACTATTGGCCCCCCATATATTAGGAACTGTCAACTGTTTCAGCCCCAAAGAAAGCAGAGGATTTTAAAGCACTGAATAAACACTAAAAAATCCTCACAAAACCCTTCTGAAGAACATTAATATAATGTTGCATTAGTTAGTACCATAATCTTACCTTAGCTTTTCAGATATACCATGTTAAACATTCCTCTTAAAACCATTAACAGAAGAAATGACACAAGCATTCATTCATAATATGCAGTTACTATATGAGTATTACATAACATATTAAGTCTTACTGGGAACCACTCCTTAAAGGACAAATGTGACACATCAACAACAGCTAATTTTAAATAACTGTTTTGGGGTTTTTTTCAAAAAAGACAAACCATAGCTATTGAGAAACAAGAGAAATGGAGACAGAGCAATGCTAGAAAGCCTAGTGTAGTTGAGTAACCTTGCTGAGAAATAAATAACAAAGGTTTTTCTGTGTTTATTTTTGCTTTTAAATGAAAAAACACAAGTGCAACTCATTGCAACAAGGTCAATACATGCAATCTATTCCAAGGCACCACTGAGGCATCAAAATATGTGATAAAAAATGTATAATGCATTTCCTTCAAGCACTGGATAATTTTTCCACTGACTTCAACCATTTTTTGTTTTGTTTTCTGTAGAGTCTCTGTCTGAAGCACATCCTGGAAAAACCCAGAACCTGCAGCAAAACAGTTTATATACCTTTTCATTTGTGTTATTGGCTACAAATGTTATCTTGGCAGCTGTCATAGTGAAACGTTACATCAAATGCCAATCAGAATACAAATACGAGAAACTACAGGGCTATTAGCAGGTGCCCATATTGGCCATAATAGTGCAGTGTGGAGAGAAGTGTATTGTTAACTTTTATTCAGGTGTGTTAGTGGTCACCAAGAAAATATTCAGTGCTAAATAATCATCACACTTTGAATTGTTCCAGTGGTAGCATCTGAATATACTCTACATAGTAGTAAGTCTTAGGACCATTTAGACATCGCAGTAGAATCAAGCTGCCTATTTACTGATGTTTCTTGCACAGAATTCATTAAATCTGCATTTTATTACTGCCTATTTCTGGCCACATCTAATCATCTAATTGCCTAATGAACTGCACAGTAAACAGCTCAGCATCTACACCTATTAGGGCACACAAATTAATAACTCTACAGCAAGGTAGTACTTGTATTTACTAATACAAACTGTGCAGTATGTAGCACCGCAGACCCACCTGCAGCACCACACACCAGATATTTAGGCATTTCCCATGCTGCTACCTTGCAGGGTAGGGGTGGTTTTTTTTTGGTCCCTGGACACAGCCATAGACATTTACCAGCTGGCTGGGGTACAAGGGTGCTAGCCCTGCACAGGAGCACCTTTGTCTCCCAGCCAGCCTCCCTCCTCCCATAGTACATTGAGCCTGGTTGTAGCAGCCCTAGGCTGGCAAGCAAGCCCCCTGCCAGCTGGGGCTGCTCTGACTGGGCTCCATGTGCTGCACATGAATACACTCCAGAGCTACACTCTGGATTTATTTGCTCCCAGGCACACATTCAAACAGCGTGCCCAGCAGTAAAAAACTTTAGAACATAAGCTTCAACATTTATTTATGTACACTAATTGCACATGTAGATGCTCCTCTGAGTAGATGTTTAGATTTGAGCTACAAAGCCCAAAATGCTTAGGGTACATCTTTCAGGAAGAAAGGTCCCCGTCTAGAGCTTCACTCTACCTCCTGCATTTTCTTGAGATGCTAGAACTAAAGTTCCTGGTTTTAAGCAGAAGGGTGACTTACTAAGACATTTTTTGTGAATTATCCTCTTGTGGATCTGACTACCTGGACCTGTAAACCTTCAAGGAACATGTTTTTTTCTGCCATAGGAGAGAATATTAGGTATAGTAGAAAAAGAGGAGTATGTGGGAGCAAATATGTGAAGGATCCATGCAAGCTCTGAACATTTTTTTCCTACTTATACGTCTATAGGTGTTTGTACATACTTTAAAACATTTTTACTATCTTAACATAATACATTTTTGCTATCTTAACATAATACCGTTAAATCAAACTGTCTGTAAATCAGTCAGTCTTGTCTGTTTTTCTTCTACATGCTGTCAGATAGATGGGAATCAAAATATTTAAGAGGTAGAAAGAAACTAGCACACAGTGTAGGTAAGAACTTCTGCTGTATTATTATTTCTGACCCTCTTAAAATTTACTGCAAACTTAGTGAATCTGGAACTTTAATTAATAAAAAGCACCTATACACATGTATATTCGAGTCTGCCGGAGCTTTCTAATCCAAATGCTCCAGCATCTCATGCATTCACCCCCACATTTCAAAATGGCAGCAGTAAAGCTTGTTAGCAGCAGTTAACAAGGAAAGCTTGTTAACTATAGCCCCCACTGCCATTTTGAAACATGGGATGCTGAATATATGAGATGCTGCAAGCATTTTAATTAAAGCAGCTCCCAAAAGCTGTTTAATTAAAATGTCCCCCCACCCTGGAGCACGTGTAAAAATGCCCAAAATTACCATTATGAGAAATGGAAAAGGAAGTAACACTTTAGAAAAACATTTGACCTTTTCCTGTTTTCAAGAACAGCGTACATAGAACAGCTGTAAGTCTACCCCAGGGCATTAGACACCCTCTGGAATTGTAGCCTTTCTTTATTCTCCCAAAATTCCAGAGTAACAAATAGAAAAACAGAAAATGAAACAGGTGTCTCCAGACAAAGCACAATCTTCAGTCTGACACAGCAAGGAAGGATTTAAATTTACCTGTGCACTGCCCACTTTGTAGAACTTACACTTATGACACACTAGAGTGACGATCTTTGATAAAAATATTCCCCTGGCCCAGCGTTGCCAAAATGCAGCAGTCCACACATGAAATGGATTGATTCTGGTACTTTGGTGGTCCCCACTTCAAGCATCCATATTTGCTGTAACAGAGCACTATGGAAAGTAACAAATTCATAAATTGGATATTTTTCCATCCACAGGGAGCACCTCAACAGTAGGTTGCATAGGAGCAACCATCCTGTCTCTAGCCTAAGTCTTTAAGTGAACAGCTTCCACAGGAGGCCTTGAGAGTTCCTCTCACTTCATAGCATAGTAATTACACCTCTAATGAAAGGAGGGAGATAGGGCTTTGAACTACTTTAGAGGAGAGAGACTGGAACTATAAATCTCCTCCCCCTAGTGCTCTAACCACTAAACTGCTACAGAAAGCAAGAGGACAGAGTAGCACCATTTCCTTCTGTGTTTTGAGAAGGGTGACTCAGTTCTGTTTCTTTAAGAAACAGTGAAAAAAAGATTCCAAGCTTGAAGCTCACAGGATAAAAAGCAGCAGGTGGTAGAAAAGCACTGAATCACGTGCCTCTCCAGGGCCTAGGCAAAAGGAATTATATGAGTTAAGACACCCCTAGTCTTCAGAAATTCCTATTAGCTTCTGAAGGCCAAGCATGTTGGTTGTTATGGATTCCATTCTTAAGCTGCCTACCTTCCTCAATACACCGATTACAGAGCCCAGACAATTAACACAGAGCGGTGGATTCTAGCGCAGGAGCCAAGTGACTCATTCCTACTGTAGAGCTCAGCCCAAGAAACTATAACAAGCAAAGGCAATAGAACAAAACTCAGAAATCTCAGTGGAAACGTATTACTACAAGATTAAAAAACACACAAAAAAAGGACAATTCAAGTAAACATAAATAGAAAAGATGCAACTCGTTTTATTTGGAGTGCATCTTTTATAATTCATGCCGAGGCTGACAAAGAGGTGGTATTTAACAATACTTTTTAAATAAATAAGCCAAAAAAAGATGTACACAATTCTTACAATTATGAAAAAATACTGATATTCTTAACGATTAGATCTTTTATAATAATAATAATAATAATAATAATAATAATAATAACAACAACAACAACAGTTTTGTACAATACTGGGCAGCGTTACAGTAACAAAGGCAAACAAAAAACATCGAGATATTTTATAGTTACATATTTATAATAATAAGCTTATCACAAAAGTTGCCCTTGAGAAGTATTTTTAAGGTCTTCTATCTTTCACAGACTATCTCTCTCCATTTGAGAACCCTTCTCCAGAGTCATAGCGTTCCTGTGAGGCTTTGTTTGATTTTGAGTTCTGAACCAAGTCTACTAAGAGAACAATTTTATTATCTATATGTTCCTGAAGGTTCTGAATCCGCAGATCAATATAATCCATTAGTTTTTTCTCCATCAGGTCCATATTTTTGGAGATGATCTTTTCCAAATATGAACAAATAGGCTGCTGCTCCAGTCTGTAGGAAATAAGTAGAAGTATGATATTAATTTTAGGTATCATGGTGGGTAACACGCATAAATGGGGATTCTAGTATCTCTAGAAAGAGCCCTGGATTTTTAAATTAGCAACTGATTTCCTAGAATGAATAATCAGCAGGAACAGTCATGGGGAAAAAAAATCTAACTTCAAAACTACACCCACATGTGACAGTTTGTGTTTTTCAAATTTGGGTTAAGAAATACAAGTAGTACTCTTAAGCCTTCTATGAAATAAGTTTGGATTCATTTTGCCCAGCACACCTTGTGTGTATAAATAATATACAAGTTGTGTATATTATTTATAGGCGTAACTTGAACTAATTTGGTACACCTAGAAAAACCATGACTAGAAGGGACCTCATGAAGCCATTTAGTTAGTCCATCCCTCTGCTCCAAGGCAGCATAATCTGCATTGAAACCATGTGTAATAGGTGTTTATCTAACCTGTATGTAAAAAACAACTCCAGTAATGGAGATTCCACAGGTTTCCTAGATACTGTACTAGTCTTAGATTTAGAAAGATTTTCCTAGTGTCTAACCTAGATCAGCAATTCTTTGTCTTCTATTAGTGCACTTAAATTCCTAGGTAAGCATAACACTGTGCATTTGTTGTTATTAAGCTGAACTCTATTTATCTTAGGTAGTTTCTCCAATTTGTCAAAACTAGAGATCATTAGAAAACTGCAAATCATCTTGAATTCTAACCATGTCTTAAAATGATTGCAATCCCTTCCACCTTTTAAATTTATTACATTTGCAAATGATAGAAAACATATTCTCTGTTCCTTTATCCATGTCCTTACTAGAAATTCTCTATAGTGTCGGGCCCAGAGCAGACCCCTGAAGAAACCTACACTCTTCCAGTTTGATAGCAGCCCACTGCTGGATGTTCAGCTTGTACCAAGAAAACAGCTTTCTGGCCAGCACTCCTTCTCCCTTTATCATTTAATTTAGTCTTTAGATAGTAGATAGGGGTGTACTGATAAAGATTTTCTTGGCCGATACCAATAGCCAATTAACCAGCCATATCAGCCAATACCAATCTGGTAACTGACTTACGGGAATAGAGCTGGGCAGCTTGAAGAGCAGCTCCCTCCAGCTAAGTCTGTGGAGGGGAAGGGATGTGGGGTGGGGAGGAAAAGTGGCGGGGCAGATCTAGGTCCCCAGTGAGGAAGGTAGTAGGGCAGGAGGCACTGCCCAGCCACGGCGGTGAATGGGACCTGGGGCTGGGAGTGAAACAGATCCGCAGGTGGATAAGCATCCTGGCACTTAAAATTGATGGTGGGTGCACCTGAAATAGTCATTGAATGAGCTGTAATTCATGTGCCACTACCACCACTATTAAGCACAGGGACCCTTAACTGGAGCAGAGCCGAGTGAGGCAAGGGTGGATGCAGGCTGCCTGCTGAGGACTTGGGAATCTCTGCTCTGCTTTCTTTGCCCAGGGAACCCTGTGCTAGCCATGTGCCCCCTGCCCACCTGGCAACAGGAGGGACAACTCACTGTCCTCACTGTTGCTGGGTGGGCAGGGGGCACAGGGCTCCTGGGGGAAAGGTAGCAGAGCTGAGAGTCCTGAGCCCACAGTGGGCGGCCTGCATCTGTCCTGCGCACAAATCTGAGGGGGCACATGCCCCCCCATGCCTCTGTCAGAGGGTGCACACAGTGGCAGGGAGCCACGTCCCCTGGATGAGCTGCCTGTAGCTCTGTCGTGTTCCCTACCCCAGGCCCCACTCACTGCTGTGGCTAGGCGCCTCCAACCTCAGCCCCTACCCCACTCCTTCCCTCACTGTGAGAGCCTTGATCTGCGCCACCCCCATGCCCTCTCCCCTCTACAGACTTATTTGCAGGGTGCTGCTCTCCACACTGCCTGGCTGCATTCCTGGCCACATGCATGCATGTGGCAGTACACATGCACGTGGTGTTCAGGGGCCCCCAGACAGAAGGCATATTATATTTAACAGTGAACATTGGCTACACTGGCCCAAAAAAGCCAATAACTGATCATCTTAGTTTTCCTTTTATCAGTGCTGATCTGGTATGCAACCAATATAATCGGTGCACCTCTAGTAGCAGATTTAGTTATTTGGCTAGCGTCTGTCTGAAAATACAGGGAAGCATAAAGTAGGTGAGAAGATATCACAGGAGAAATAAAGCACAGGGGAAAAAAGCAGAAAGAAGCACAAGATGGGGAGGAGGAAAAGGGAAAAACATCCAGGTTAAGGGAGAAAACATTTACAAAACTGAAAAAAAAAAAAACAAAGAAAAGGAATAATAGGAGTATGTCAACATCTACCAGAAAATAAAAGAAAATGGGTGTAGGTAAATATGAAAACAGGAGTTTGCATTTAATGCACTCAAACTGGTACTTTGTTAAATGTTACTATGATAGGTGTTAACAAGTCTCTTATGCCTTTAGCTGCATGGACTCAGAGGGCTGTGGTACCAAGACTGAAGAAGTACTCTTACTTCTTACTTCAGGGAGCTGCTCTTCAAGTAATCCAAAAGCTATTAGAAGTTGAGTAAGTGTTTAAGACTCAACTTACCTGACATTTTGAATGCCTTCTTCTTCAGCTGTTGTGCCCTTCTCAAAGTGCTTATTCCCATCTTCTAACCGAAGGTGATTAACTTGGCCACACACATTCTGAAGAAAAGGAAGCAGCAGCCCAGAACTAGGCATATTTAGGACTTCACTTGCTTTATCTGGTATTATTGAAGACCCCATGATTGTACAATCTCTCCCAGGAAGAAGAGTGCTCTGCTGGGCCCTTTTAAGTTCTCCAAGATCAGAGGTATTCTTTCTGCTGGGTCCCTGTGCATTCAGGTCAACTTGTCTTTTTAAATCTTCAGAAACTGTTTCAGTTGGCAAATAACTGTTAAGAGGACAGGGTCCATTGGATGACTCGTCTAATGATCTTGAAGCAGATGTATTGTTCAATCCCCCTATTGTACCAATGTCTCCAAAAACAGGTTTCTTGTTTCCCAAGATACACTGGAGTTTGTCTCCAAGAGACAAACTGTTCTGATAGAAATAAGAACATATAAATATAAAACTAATTAAGTACATAGAGATATGTTCTCCCCCACAAAAGTTTTAAACGTCTTATAACATGTCAAGTAACTATAACGTTCCCCACAGCTATCCATGTAAAATATTTACTGAGAATGAATGAGCTAAGTGTCTCATCAAAATGGAAGTTGTGTACTTGAAGTTTCCTTCAAGAGAAAAAAGAAAACCTAAATAAAATTTACCAGATTTAAACAAAACAAAAAATGAAGCTGTGAAAGTGAATGCATGAACTTTGAGAAGGTTAGATAGCAATTTCTTTTCCGATGAGCCATTTTTGAAGCAGATTTTTACCATTTTAGGTCCTTATTCTGAGCATGTTACTCTGTAGGGGAGTATATCCATGAGAGAAATTATACTAACAATACTCTTTTTTATTTGGACGGAAACCAGATGCAAGGACTGTCTGCAATGCTAATGGTTACATGGAGGGAAAACAGATGAAGTGTAAAATTAATGGGAAAGAGTTTGGTGCTAGATCGGGGCGGGCAATTATTTTGGGCGGAGGGCCGCTTACTGAGTTTTGGCAAGCCTTTGACGGCCACATGACAGGCAGCCAGGGGCAGATAAATATTAATTTTCTAAATTTTTTTTTAGGGGTCCTGCAGGCCAGGTGGAATGGCCTGGCGGGCTGCATCTGACCTGCAGGCCGCATTTTGCCCACCCCTGTGCTGGATTCTTAGAGTTCGATCTTCATCTTTTGGAACCCTTTGGTCCCAGGTCAGGTTTAGATTTAGCCATCATTAGGATGTGTCGCAAGTCTCATAAATGTCCCCAGGCTTTTTCACTGGGCCTATAACTTATTTGGGTATAAAGTGGCAAGAAGTCTGTGTTGGAGCTTTACTCAATTAAATGAGTCTGGAATGCGATTAATATTGGCCCAGAATGTGGAGTTCTGAACTAATTCTTGTCAATCTAAATAAAAATGATATGGTGACTTACCTTCTGCTGACATTTAACCATATCCATTAGCTGCTGAGCACCTGGAGATAACTTTGACCCCATGGATTCCATTATCATTTGCACTCTGTTTAGATCTATGCTTGATCCTAGTGAAGGAAAATCTGCTGGTTTTGAAGAAGCTTTTCTCACCTTTACTACAATTTTACTGATGAGTACTGTCTGTTTTTCACCAATAGAAACCAGCTATTGCAAAAAAGAGAAAGCAATTTTTTAAAATTAGAAAAATTAGGTTTTGAAATTCATTTCCTTTGGGAATGTGCATTCAGTGTAATACAATTTAGGAAGTTAAATCAGCTTCTCTTTTCTACCAGGGTGTTATTTTAAATGCGTTTCATCCTGCACTTAGTCTTAGAAATAATAGTACTCCAACAGAATTTGAGCGCAAATGAACTGCAGAATCAGTTACAACCCAAGAGCATGATTAGACCTGTTGACTTTAATATGATTCCACATAGGTCAAGGTATGACGCATACACCTGTAAGATCAGATTTGTATATTCAGCCTGTACACTATTTTTTTCTGGTTAGCAATTCTGTTTCTTTAACAGCATATTACTTTTTTCATACATACAAATAACTTAAAGTATGAGATGTCGATCTGAATTGAGAATCCCAAAATTAGAAGCCATCTATATTTAAGATGCTTGCTCTACAGAATTATAAAAATCTGTTTTCATTTTACATAGATGATAATGCAAAAAAGGAATATTACTCAAATAAAACATTAAAAAAAAAGTAAGAATTAAGACAATTTTTGTGGAACTTCCTACCTTAATTCTACAAGCGGCTGTGGGACACTCCAATTTAAGATACTTTTTGTATAAAGTAATCCCATCACTTTTACTAGAAAAATAAAATAAATGAGCTGTGAAGTCTCTGTGGCAAAATACTACATAAAAGCTTTATATAAGAGCACAGAAATGGTAGTTAATATATTTAATAACAAGGAAAGAGCCAAGTGTCATATCTTTTAATGTGCTTATCTTAACAATGAAAATCAGCTTGGTTTGAGGAACATAGGATTATGGGGAGGGAGAAGATAGAGAGATTATTACAAACCACCAATGAAACAAACAGATTTGCTCTCTAGAAAAAACTAATTGATAGAACAGAAACATGTTAATCTTATGTTTTCTTTGCAGACATATTTAAAAGAATTTTTTAAATGATGCTTAATGACTTCTGGGAGATGGTACTGAATTAATTTTTTAAGTCACTGAAAGCAGTAGCTAATGTCCTGGCACTCAGCCTTCCTTCTGTTTAGCATGCACCAGACGGTGGGTGTACAAGCCACCATACTGCTTTGATAATGATTGAAGATGCCGTCAAGAGGGCCAGAGAAGTGTGGCGTTTGAGATCGTTCATTTCTTAGCCTCTGCTGAGGCTGCCAAGAAGGTGCAGATTATGCTAATGGGTTTTCAGAGGCAGCTATCAACATATCAGATTTGGATTAAGGTGGTCACCAGACAGACTGTTGACAGACATGGGGGTGCAGAAAAAAAAATAGTGCTTAATTTTCAGCTCAGCATGCCTCTGCACTGAACACAGCACATGCCCAGAAGGGGCAATGTGTCAGTTTAACCTGGCTGGCCTAGCATCTGTATAGATCATGTGCTTCAGAGGGGCTTTTTGGCACTCTTATCTAATAGCCGATTCAATCAGCTATTAGATAAAAACGCGAAAAAAGCTCCACTGAAGTGCGCGATCTATACAGACGTTGGTGTGCTAAGTCAAACTGATGTGGTTCCTGTTCCAGTAAAGTGCTAGGGATTTTTTCCTGCTATGTCTGTCAGCAGTCAAAGTCTACATTTATAGCAGGCTCTTAAATTGCTGGTATCTCATTCCCAACCCCCTAAGCTGTCCAGTTTTCATACTGTAGGGAGTTAATAACAAAGACAGTGAAAACAGAACCCATGACCCAAAGCCACTGACCTGCCGCCCTGGACGGTGCAGACATGCTCTCCCCTGCTTGTCCCGCAGTACTCTTCTCCCACGTACACTTCCATGTTTCTTGCCTCACTGAGAACCCCAACGCAAGCAATTTCCTCATGGCTCCGAGGATCGCAGTGCAGGTACAGCACACAAGAAGCGTCACTTCCGTCACTGGGTAAGCGCCTCTCCAAAACAACTGAGTCCTCACTAGACAGGGCGAAAGGAAGTTTGGGGGGGGGGGGGGAAAAAA